AATTACACCTTCATGCAATTCTCACCATGTAAAAGGAGGATTTTCTTCTGATCAAAGACACAGCAAAGATATGGAAGCTTAATTGCCTAAATGTTACAGGACCAACCTTGAGTATCCCCAATTAGTTATTGACAAATACAGACACAACCCATCCTGGATCACTCTAGTGGACCCAAAATGTGGTGTGTGCCGGTTATGGATGTCAGTTAAGTGCTAGACCCACCATGAAGGCTAACTATGATTCAACAAAATTTAGGAGTAAAATGGACTATACTGATCCCAAACGCATACATTTGATATAAAACCTTTTAATCACTTCATATTCCAAACATATAAACTCCCATTTATCATCGTAGCAGCTGTTTTTTGACCATATCTCATTTCATAGGTAATACTCAAAACTTCACGGCATGGCCAACAACATAATGAGATTTCCCAAGTCATCTGAAGCAGTAAAAGTTGTAACACAGAGATATAAGGAACACTTCAATTGCATTGCAACCCTACAACTGCGGCAAGAGAAGGGAATAATCCAAGTGCTGCTTGTCCACCATAATTAATGCTCCAACTTAAGATTACATCTTCTTTATAAAATTTGTGGAACTGTTGATTTCTTATACTTCCGCTCTAGACTATCCAAATTGTTTGAATTGAAATGTTAACACCAAAGTTATTTCTTATGCTTTTCTCAATGTACAAGCTTAATAAGAAATATTTTTCTTTCGAGATGTCATGATTATGTAAACAATTCACAGCAAGCACACTCTCACTATCGTTTCAGTGAATTTGATTTTGTTTCTAAATTACTGTATTCAATTCTTCTACAGTTTTTGATTTCTAAATTTTTCTGTTTTTCCTCACCTTTTCATCGATCACAAAGAAAAGTTGTATCAATAGATAATTTAAATCAGCAATTCAATAAAAGCAGAAGTCTGAAAAACTTAACAAAAACAGTATAGTGTTTGATGAAGCAAGTTCAGAAAAGACGAAAGGAGGCGGCGGGACTTACAATTGGGAAATCAAGAGGGGATCGACGAGTCATCTTCTCTTCATCAGGTGCCATACGCACAGTCCATGACCTCCGCCGTCCATGTGTCGAAATCCGAGCGCGAGTGCTTCTGAGAGGCAGCAACAGAACCTTTGAATAAGACGCCGTCGATGGTATCCCAGTTGCGGATGAGGTTGAAGGAGAGGGACGCAGAAGAAACGTCGTTTTAGGAGTCGAAGATATTGAGAGCTGCAACGCCATTAAGGGCGGCGCGTGGAGTTGCGTGCAGTTGGTTTATCTGAATTTGAGCTTCCGCCAGTCCCCACCACCAAATCTACCCTTCGCACCAACCGCGTCTCTAATTTAAGGCTTTGTTTGAGCCACGTTCCTTAAGAAAAAAATACTTCATTCGTCTCAATTATACAGATTTATTTTATTATTCTTACGAATTAAAAAAAAAAAATTAATGTCATTGAAAAATTAATTTTTGTCAAGATCTTTCCTAATTTATTCCTATTTAATTTTTAATATATAGTAATAAATTATTATTGAAATTAGTAAAGAACTTAAATGATTTAATTTGAAGAAGAAGAAACGAGAATTGTTTCATGTTTTTAAGAAGTGGAAATGTGTGTATTTGATATTATTTTAATCACATATTTTTCAATAAAATAATATTACATGAAAATTTAAAAATTTCCTTATTTTTTAACTACACATTTTCCATCAATATACTATTCAAAAATACATTTTTATTCCAATAATGTGGCTCAAACAAGGGCTTAATTAACTGAATATTGGAAATTTATTTCCCAACTTTTGGTAAAAGTAACAATCTTATTCTCAACCAATTTTTTAATCTAATTTTGATTTTCAACTTTGAAAAATTAGCAAATTAAGAACATTTTCACGGTAAAATACACAATTCGTACAATTTTGGATTTCCTTCTTCTTCTTTTCATTTTTTTGTTGTTACTACAGGGTAATGGAAGTGGTATGCCACTCACCAGTGTGTTATTCCTACTTGGATTTTGTCACTATTATTTTATTAGAAATTTTCCCCTGCCCACGATGACAAGTCTTACCTTATCCACTTAGAGAAAATTGTACTTACGGTTCTCACGTTTGGATAGAACCATAAATATAGTTCTCCCGACACAGCAGTAAGTGAGCAATCTGATCCTACCCTATGGGTGACAATCGAGCCGAACCGATCGGCTCGTAAAAAGGCGGCCCTTCATTCTCACATTTGGATAGAATCTTAAATAAAGTTCTCGTGTCACAATAGTAAGTAAACTGTCTTGTCCTACCCTAAAGGTGACAATCGAGCCCAGCCGAACCGATCGGCTCATTGATAGCTCGGGATCGTATTTAAATGAGCCCGAGCCCGAGCCCGAGCCCAAGCACGAGCTGTAAAATAAAGGGAACAAAAAAAAAAAAATTGAGCTCAGGGGCTCAACTCAGCTAGGCTCATGGCTCATGGGCTCAGCTCTCCCTTTCGTTGGTAGCTAGTTCAAGCCAGTTTGGCTCGACCCATTGCCTCCCATATCCTGTCCACATTGGGCAGAAGAACTATTTCAATTATTTTATTTTAATCATTTTTTTTAAATAGAATTTAAGTTTGGGATAGGAGATTTTCTATTCTAGGATATTAATTCTCCCACTGCCTATATAATCTCTAGATTATTTTCTTATGCTAATATTCGCTCGAATTAATAATTGTTATATTAATAGTTACTCGATCAAAATACCAACACTAAATCATATGTGGCACCATTAAGTACCAACGTATAACCAAATAGTGTTATTTATGTTGGAAAATTATCAACATCGGAGTTTGGAGAAGAAACCAAGAAATTGAAATTCAAGAAGATCAAAAATCAATATGAAGGCTCAAACACAAAAATAATCTTGCAGTCCTCGAAAGATATTTGCCCCCTCTCCGAATTATACAAGATTTTTCAAGGCTTTTACGACAAACAGTTCGTATGATTGATCAAGTCTTGTTGCAGAAAAATACTAAAGAATAAATATTTTTCTACCCGCACTTGAAGAATACAAGAAGGAATTACTTGAATATGGAAGAAAAGAAGATTGATCCTTTTTGTGGAATATAAAATAAGTTCATACGATTTTCAATTTTATGTATTGATTCTTCAACACCCATTAATAGATGTCAATCAAAACCCCACAAATTGGTGCCAAAAAGTCATGAAAAGTCGAAAGAAAGTCTCCAAAAACCGCCAAAAACCAATTGAAAAATGACCTCCAACAGTCACCTTTTATTTACCATGCGGTTCAACACCATGAGGTCGCATGGTTGAAAGGTGACTCGGCCCCCAGTTTTCTATTGCATGGCCCTTGGGCTATGCGATCGCATAGGCCATGTCTTTAATATCTCAAATTCCTTTTCATTCCACACGCCGTTTATTGATTTTAAACAACGTTTTCATCAATTTATTATGCCACGTCAATAGAATTTGAAGGTTAAAAATTGAGGATTACACACGTATGAATGGAAAACATTAGCTTTAGTTTTAAATGGATTTTTTGGAGTCAAAACATATAGTAAATCCACGTTTTGTTTTTTAACAATGATATTTGCTGACTTAGCGTTTTTTAACAACGATATTTGCTGACTTAGCGTACTAGGTAACGTTATTTATTGATACATTGACATTTAACAATGTCAAATGTCATGTAGGATTTAACGTTAATTTTTTTAAATGAGTAACTGCTAGTGTAATAGTTAAAAACTTGAGTGCCTTGTAATTACTCAAGACTCCAGTGTCCATCGACTTATTAATCTTATGAAAATTGCAATAAGTAATACTGTGTTTAGGTTTCCTTGTGATAACTTGGCTTCAAACTGCAGAATGCCATAGCTTTCAAGTCTTACTCTACACTATCATGATTCACGAGTTTTGACATGAACATTCAGACCAGTGATCCTCCACCGTAAAGAGGGGTTGCTCTACGAGGAATTGGAGCCCAGGTAACACAAAGCGCATTCATCAGTCCCACTGAGCCAGTGAGAATCAGTCTTCAGTCGCATAGTAGTAATAACCATTATAAAACTAAACAATCAGGCAATTACAAGGTCCAGCAGACATGGAAAGAAGGATGGAGAGGATATTACTGAGGTTTCACCATCACTGTGCTCAGGGATGCGCCATCCCATGGTGTCCACTTCTGCACGTATTAGTAAGAGAGAAACTTCACCAAGGATGCATAAAAAAAGCCAGGAGAGTTTCAGAATAATGCTCATTGCAGGGGGTCTTGCCGGAGTTGCTAGCTAGATTTGCATTTAGATGTAAATTAAAACCAGAATTCAGGCTCAATCAAATTCCTGCATTAGTGAAAGCTTCAAGTAGAGCATGAAAGATTCCAGCGTTCTTTGGCAAGTTGCCAGAGCCTTCATTGTGAATGGGGTATGACCTTTACTGCATATGAGACAGCACTAAGGTACCTAGTTAACAACAATAAATCGTGCTGCAACTCAAATAGGAGATAAATTTTAGAGTACCCTGCTACTTAAAAGCACACCATCTTGGCATCAAGAATTGAACCTCTTATGGAAATCTATTGGAGAAAACAATCCATTGAAGCAACATGACATTTCGTCAACAACCAAAATGACATCAAAGCATAAAGAAGCACAATAAGGCAAGTGCGGGAAATTTCTCCACACTAATGAAAATGTTTTTCATGCAAGAGACTGAAGCAATTTATAACAAAAATACGCGAACTAGGTACATTTCCAGCAGAGAAGTCTTAAGTTTTGCAGTGATCATAAATATGTCATATGCAGGCAACCATCAAAGTGAATTGAGGCATTGATTTGCATAACAATGTAGTTGCCATTGTTAATATGGACTAAGACAAAGGAATGATAATACACATTTTCTCGTATCCTTTTTACCTTTCCCTATAATGTCTTGACGAGGATTCCAGCTAGCCTTAAAGCACATAAAATTGTAAAAGAAGGCAATGACAAGACCAAAACCAGGACTACATCGAGAATAACAGACAGATTTAAACATTTTACAAAGTTCACATTCTCAACTTTGAATTTATTTCATACGTAACACAAAGTCGTAGTAAACTGTGCTTTCGCTCCTAAGCAACAGCAATGTTACTGCAATAGTACTTGTACAAGCTAAAGAACAATTATATTCCCAATTTCCTGTAATTTTTCAACGCAAAGAGACACAAACACAAGTCATTTCATAGTAAATGCAAAGACATCGTCATTCCTAATACTCCAAAACAGAATGATATAAATATTCAATGCAGGTCTCATCAACAAATCAGTAAGTACTTGCAGAGCCAAATGGCTCGACCCTATTCTCACCAAGATTTAACCCTGCCACAGCATCCTCTAAACCACTGCTCGCCTGCGCCAGCTCCACAGGATCATTATAACTCCTAACAGCATGCACAATACCCCGAACCCTCTTGTAAGGATCAGCAACACTGAAAACCTCTGGTCCCAAGAACACTCCATCACATCCCAATTGCATCATCAGTGCAGCATCAGCAGGCGTCACTATACCTCCAGCAGCGAAATGCACCACCGGCAGCCTCCCCATTTGCTTAGTCTGTGCCACGATATCATAAGGCGCTTTAATCTGCTTAGAAAACGTAAACACCTCGTCCTCGTCCATGTTATTCAATCGTCTAATCTCGCCCATCACTTTCCTCACACTACGAACCGTCTCAACTACATTCCCAGATCCCTTCAGATCACCTTGGGTGCGTATCATCGCCGCCCCTTCTCTCACTCTCCTTAAAGCCTCCCCCAGATCGCGACATCCACAAATAAAGGGCGTTCCGAAATTATGCTTATTAATAAAATGATCCTCATCAGCGATGGCTAAAACCTCACTTTCATCAATATAATCAACTCCTACGGACTCCAAAATCTGAGCCTCCACAAAATGCCCAACCCGGGCTTTCGCCACTAAGGGAATTGAGACGGATTGCTTAATTTCTTTAATCAGGGCCGGATCAGGCATGCGGGAAATTCCTTCCCTGTGTGGATCTGATACAATTACACAACAAGCGCCGGCAGACTCGGCGATCTTGGCTTGTTCAACGGTGGTGACTTCCACAATAGCGCCACCCCGGAGCATCTGGGCCATCCCGACTTTGATTGAAAATGGGTTCTTCTTGGCATCAGTAATTGCGGCGTTGCTTCCGTAGACCGTAACAGCACTGTCCTCGGCCATTGTGAAAGTTTTTGTAGAAATACCTATATGAAAAAAACCAAATGTAATTTATTCCGCTTTAGAACGAATTTGCAGTTTTCTCCGAGGGAGATGAGAATAATATGGATATAAAAGGCGGTGGAGTTTGGAGGGTTCGCGAAGTTTCGCGGAGGAAGGGCGGTCAGGCTTGTTGGTGGAAAGTGTAGAAAGTTCCGTTGATTTCAAGGAATGATGCCTTCCTTTTTGGGATATGATATTAATTGGACCATCAACAAGACTCGTTACGACAATAAGTTGGCCCCTTTAATTTCATTCCATTTTTATCTTTTCTATTTTTAACCACACAGTCTTTCATAAATTAATATTACATATAAATCGAAATTTTCCTTTCTTTTTCAATCACTTTTAAAAAAAATATATTATTCTTCCCATTTTCATTTTAAAAAAATGGAGGTCAAACGGAAGCTAAATTCTCAATTTTGTTTCAAAACAAAATTGTTAATTTATAATTTTGATAATTGCAGTATCAGTCCCAAATTTCTTTAAAAATGTACAGATTATATAAATCTTTAATTTGTAGCAGCATTGTCTTTATTTCAATCTGGTGCAACAAAAGGGTATCTAAACAGTTTACGTCCAAAATTATGTTAGTTGATCAAAATCAAAAGTTGAGTGTTTGATCGTAATTTGACTAATTTTAAATGGGTAAAATGATATTTTAACTTTCTACTAACTAAAAAAGTTAAGTCTTAAACCTTTCAAAAATGTATAACAATCTTTCTCTTATAGTGCTTGTTCACTATCGGTCTTTCACATCATATTTAGCCTTGGACGAAACTTGCTGTCTGTATGGGACTGCATGATCTTAAGAAACACATTTCATGACCTTATTTTTCCAGTTGCTGCATCGTCTTAATAAATGTATTCACATGTATGTTCAAACAGGGTCGTAAACAAGATCGAAAAAAAAAAAAAAAAAAAAAAAAAAAAAAAAATCCACATAATTGACTGAAATAAAAGGAAAAAAAAAATGATAACCTTCAACGCTCTACTCTAAGTTGTTCTTTAATTAGGTGTACAAATTTACAAGTTTTGGATTAACATGATATAACAACAAACAACGATTTTGAGATACGGTCGTTATGGATATTGCCTCCAATGCAAGTAAATAGCATATCAAAATATAATTTAAAAACACATTTGGAATTGCCAAATTGGGAGTAGCACGCAATGCACGTCCACATAAAGGAAGATAGGATGAAGAAAAAAATTAAATTTTATTGGATAACTTCGCCTAAAAGTTTGAACTCGTAAATGCACATATGCTTATTTACTCAAACTTCATTTTCAACATATTCCTATACGCGCTAGGCGAATTTAGTGGTCGACTAAGGGTTAAGAAGGATACAACTCCCTATAAACGTCCATGAAAAATTTGTCAACAATGTCAAGGTAAAGTGGGCAGGTAAGCCTGGAGTAGTAATGCATCACTTCTTCCATATCCATCACATGATCCAAATCATTCATATCAAGCAATTCCATCTCTTTCATCTTCTGTGCTAAATCATTCACAATCTGAGAACTGGGCTCCACTCGTTTCCCTTCCATGCAAGTCTGGCACACAGTACTCGATTCATCTGGACATTACAATTAAATAAAAAATTAGCTCATGTATCGTGACATTATTCAGTATTATCTAATCCTCCTTATCAAAATACCGTTACAGTATTTACCTGTCTTTTTCTCTTCTTTTCTATCATCATTCTTGTAGCTTCCGTTGCATGATGATTTTTCATCTCCCTTTCTTTTTTCTTTTGCTGAAAATCCCTTTTTCTTTTTCTTCAGCACCTTGTTACATCCAGAATCCCAGTGTTTGGAGAAGTCTCTGTAGAAATTATCCAATTCCTGCATTTTGGGATTGAAGAGAGGATTGACACGAGGGGTTTTAGGTAGCTTTTGGTAATCTCCTGAGAGTGATGATTTAAGGTTTCGGAAAGTTCTATGAACGAAGTTTTTTGTCTTGTAGAAGGATTCTTGGAGCATCATTTTTGGGTTTAATATTTGTTCTTCAAAACCTGTTCAAGGAAGAAGGAAAAAACTGCAAGTTTCTTTTGATTAACTTAGGATAAAAGTAAGTAGAAGGGGTTTTGTATACACAATGCTCAAAGAAATGTAGATCGGTCTTGCCCGGTCCATTAATAGACCTGACATGTTCAGAAAAGGCTCTGGTGGATATCGTTCCTCTCTAATAGTTAAACTTTTTCAAAGGTGGTTTGATATGACATTAAAGCGCGTACAAGACTTGAGTTCAAATCTCTTCGTCATTCTTGTGTTTTGATTCCTAGATGGCGTCAAGATCATTAGTTAGGTCTAATATTTCTTAATTTCATAAAACTCGTGACTTCAAGAGTCTGAGCATATCCTAGTTTCTCGCTTTACTAATTTAAAAAAAAATAAAAAATCTCATTCTTTTAAAAGAAAAAATAAAATAAAAAGCAGCTCGCGCGGGCCATCTCGTAAGATGAGTATTTGGGACAATTTGATTAGGAAACCATTCAGATCACAAGTTAAAGTTGAAAATAATGTTTGTCCACCAACCAGCAAAGGCTCCTTGCTTAATATAATATCTCATTTCAAGAAATGAAACAATTGTATAAACACGAAAATACTGGTAATCTAATGATTATTAGAAGACTTACTGCTCTTTAAAGTGTTGCCATTTTGATTAAGAGAAAAAGTTAAAGGCTTTGTGGGTTAAAGTTTACTAGATGATGCATGTAATCAAGATTCTAATTTTTTTTTTTTTTTTTTTGTGGGCTACATTTTGACCAATAGGGCCTACAGTTAAGAGATTTGTGAATGAAGGGGATCAAAATTTCTTTACAAGATGAATGAAAATGATTGAATGGAAGAACTCTCTAACATTGGGTGGTTATAAATGTGTCAATTTAATATTTCCATATATCATTTCATTCTGCTCTTGCAAAGTAGAATCATACAATACTAAACACGAGATTAATCTTTCAAAAAATGAGTCTTTTTTCAAATACTAGTGTGGCAACGTGCATTGCACGTTAGTTGGGTGCACATTAGTTGGTTTGGTTGGGGGTGAACGTAAAGTATAAGTGTGTAGTGATTGCTAAATGAATACATAGAATAAATTGGTGCAGTGATAAAGTGGAATAATTTGAATAAACACATATGCTTATATTTTAACTCCTATAGTATGAGAAGAAAAAGTTGACCTTTGTCATCTGGATCATTTGTCAATTCCCCAGCCTGTGCTTAAAAGTACCAGCTTTTCCTTCACTCCTCTTCTAAATTCAACAGCACCCGCTTACTCGGCCCTTTCACAAAAAAATTCAACATACCCACAACAACGACAAAACAAAAACAATCAGAATCATGAGAATTAGAAAGTAAAGCAAAAAGTTTATATTGACAACAAATTTTAAAAAATAATAAAAATGGAGATAATAAATGGGGTCAATGTTAAAGAAAAATACAGATTTAATCAACTGGATTGTAAGTCAACTTGTAACTATTTATTTAGCTAGCTTAAAAAGTAAAAACATATTGATGAGTAACAGAATTGACCAAAGTGTTACTAGGTAATATTTTCAAATGGTACCTTTAAAATATTAACTTGAGTTTGTGACAAATCAATACCTCTCTCCACACACCTTGAATCACGATCATAAAAACATTATAATACAAATGAACAGAAAATCATGTCTATTAAAAGAATACATAAAATTAGACGAAAGTATTGCAATAAGAGGCAAACTTACGGTGGATACGGGCTGCAGGATCTCACCTTTATACTGCATGGTAAATTACATTACAGGTATGATAAGTATCCTGAGCTCCAATAACTAAAAGCTCTTTGGACTTGCTATAAGCAAAGATTGGATTTTTTTGCTTTAATTACTTGTCAAAAATATTCATGTGGCATTGGAAAAAATGAATAAGATGAAGTTTTGGCACCATTATCTTGTTTGCTCATGTTTCTAATTCCTCTCTGCTGTGGGGGGATTTCCTTTTGTTAAGATTGTTTTATAGTAATTGCTCAAAATTCAGTAGTTTTAGTTGAGCTTATAATTTTGAGGGAACATAATTAATGAAGTGAATTTGTTCGGGCAAGAAATCTTTTATGATAATTTACTGCTTACAATTTTAGTTTGAAAAATAATTGTTGAATGTGTATGAGGGATCGACGTTGAATGAAAAAAGAATTTGATTCATTGGAACAGGATAAGTTAGAGTTAGAGGGCAAGTCGAAGGAAAAGAGCAAAATCATTCTTCAGTTGAATTGGAAGATAGAGGAATTGACAAATAAAAAATTGCAAAGCGAACAAACTGCAGTGAAGTACGAGAAAAGAATTAAGTCAATGAATGATGAGGTAGAGAAGTTGAACTGTAAAAAATTAGAGGATGAACACACTGTAGAAGTATATAAGAAGAAGTTTGAAGATCCTAATGCAGTGAAACACAAGGAAAAAATTAAGTTCTTGATTGATGAGGTAGAGAAGTTGAAATGTGAAAAATTGCAGGCTGATCAAGCTATAGAAGTCTACACTTTTTATACATTTCTACAGTATCGGCCTGCAATTTTTTCACATTTCAACTTTTCTACCTCTCAAGGACTTAATTTTTTCCGCGTATTTCACTTCGTTACGATCTTCAAATCTCTTCTCATACACTTCTACAATATGTTTAATCTCCAATTTTTCACAGTTCAACTTCTTGACCTCTTCATTCATTGACTTGATTCTTTTCTCGTACTTCACTGTAGTTTGCTCACTTTTCAATTTTTAATTCTTCAATTCCTCAACCTTTGAATTCAACTGAAGAATGATTTTACTCTTTTCCTTCAACTTGCCCTCTAGCTCTAACTTATACTGCTCTAATGAGTCAAATTCTTTTTTCATTGAACGTCGATCCTTTGTACACATTCAACAATTAATTTTCAAAATGAAATTGTAAACAGTAAATTCTTATAAAAGGTTTCTTGCTCGAACAAATTCACTTCATTAATTATACTCCTTCAAAATTATAGACTCAACTAAAAACTACTGAATTTTGAGAAATCACCATATAACAAGCTTAACAAAAGGAAATCCTCCACAATAGAGAGGAATTAGAAACATGAGCAAACACGAAAATGGTGCACAAACTTCATCTTATTCAATCTTCCCAACCCCACATTAATATCTTCGACAAGAAATTAAGTAGAAAAATCCAATCTTTGCTTACAGCAAATCCGAAAGAGCTTTTCTCTCCATCCAATCCCAGATACTACAAAGCCCTCCCCCGACTTTCCACAGCAGTAACTGCTAATCACAATTTCAATTGTCCATTAATCTCAGCAACGTAAACCCTTATGGAAAATCATAAGATATAGACTGTAACAAGCAATTTTCTCTGCAACAACTTCATTAATATGAACTCCTTAAATTAGAAATATAAACTCTAGAAGATATAGACTGTAACAAGCAATTTTCTCTCTTTCTCACTTATGGAAAATGAGAAATTAGCAATTAATTTATAAATACTTCTAAAGGGACCATCACATTCCATAAGACTCAAGAAAAATGAAGCTAACTTAGAGACCTAGAATTGCCTTCTAACAATTTGAGAAATTGCTAAGAAATTTTGTACTAAAGAAACTATATGAGAGGATAAATTTCGAACTCAGGAACTTTCCAATAGCTCAAGAAATTTTGAACTCAATAAACTATATGAGAGGCCAATAGATTAGTTTTCAATATTTTCACCTCTTACAAAAAATTCGAGTACGGTGCAAAAAGACATTTTATTCACTTCCAATCATTATAAAAGAAAAAGAGAAGAAGATAAATTACAGATATTCATATATAGATAAGATTAGAAGTGAATTAGCAGAAGGCATCAAAATTGAGGATCGTTCAATTAAATTAGCAGATCTCTTACATACATCACACGCGGACCATGCGAAGTGAATAAAAATAAGCTCAACCTTTATGAAGAATGGATGTCATTCCATCCCCTTCTGCATCATTATGGAGCTGGACTTGGCTCAATCATCGACTGCCACTGAACCTCCAAAAGCATACATGTTAAAGAGCAATAAAAAAAAAATAACATTCTAGTGTTAGAATTAGATAGAAAGAACAATATGAATCAATTGCAAGTAGAGATTAATAGTAGCTTAACCACTTAAAATATATGTATATTTATTTGACACTTGCAACTCTGATTTACTTATAATAATAACCATGAACAACTCTAATGGTATATACACATCTACTGAGGGTTTGAGAAAAGGTTTATGATGTGACTGAAGGCATTCGTTTTGAAAATTCTGAACAACAAGTATGATTTGTTTCTAAGATCGTTGATTTTGACGCAAGTTGAATAAGTATGGAAATGTGATTCAGTCAAGTTTTGAACATTAGGTTAATAGCTAGTGAAAAAATTTCTTGATAACAAAATAAGAATGGCTCACCAAATAGGCTCAATTAATATCTACTTAGCAGATAAATTATACGGAATTATCTTTCCCAAACTAATTGACTTGTCGAAAAATCGTACTTGAATTAGTATGATTTGACTAAACATCAGATTTTTAGTAAATTTTGATTTAAGTTAATGAAGTGTGTAAATGAAAAGTTAATAAAGTTGTGGATTCCATAAAATATGCATATGATTGAACATGAGTTAGGAAAAAAAAGAATTTTAAAAAATTGATGTCAAGCATGGATTAAATTTTGGTACATGATTTTTTCTTTTTTATTATTATATTTTATTCATTTTTAGATTTAGGAGAAACTATGAGCATTCACCATTAACCTATCTCTTTTTTTCTCTATGTCCATGTTAAATTATATTCTCCCTTAAATTCTATAAATCTTTAATAAAGAGTTAATTTGCCTATTTGATTGGTAATATGATACAACTCACCCATCGTTAGTCTATTATATCGACGAGAAAAATATGTTAAAAGAATTAAAAAGGGCAAATTTGCAGGACATGAAACCAAAGAAAAATTTTTAATTCATTCAGACATCCCATCAAATTAAGTAACTAAATCCTACCAAAAGATAGTTTTTATTA